TGCGATGCATGCCATGCATGCCATGCATGCCATGCTTGCCATGCATGCCATGCATTCCATGCATGCCATGCATCCATGCATACATGCATACATGCATACATCCATACATCCATACACCCATGCATCCATGCATGCCATGCATGCCATGCTTGCCATGCATGCCATGCATTCCATGCATGCCATGCATCCATGCATACATGCATACATGCATACATCCATACATCCATACACCCATGCATCCATCCATCCATCCATCCATCCATCCATCCATACATACATACATACATACATTACATACCATACATACATTACATACATTACATGCATTACATGCATTACATACATTACATACATTACATACATTTTATACACTACATACATTACATACATTACATACATTACATACATTACATACATTACATACATTACATACATAACATACATAACATACATAACATACATAACATACATAACATACATAACATACATAACATACATTACATACATTACACACATTACGCACATTACGCACATTACGCACATTACGCACATTACACACATTACATACATTACATACATTACATACATTACATACATTACATACATTACATACCTACCTACCTACATACCACATACAGACATACAGACACACAGACATACAGACATACAGACATACAGACATACAGACATACAGACGTACAGACATACAGACACACACACATACACACATACACACATACAACGTACGTAGTACGTACGTACGTACGTATGTACGTACCTACATACATACATTCATACATACCTACATATATACATACATACCTACCTACCTACCTACATACATACATACGTACGTACATACATACATACATACATACATACATATACTTGGACCACCGGTCAATGACGAGGTAAGGTGAGCACCTTTGTAATCAATTGCAATCAATAAATCGGGTCTCTCTGTCATATGTTGTGTCAAGACTTCTCATCGTCTAAGGCGGCAGCTCTTTAGCTCTGTGATTGTTCAGAACCTGGACCTGACGGTGCCGGGACGGTTGATGAGTTTGCCTCTCTTCAAAACCTTTGACCGAAAGTTCCGGAATCTGCTGGGACTCTATTCTGAGAGACATGCCTTCTTCCCGGATCATACTGCGACGCGTGAGGGAGAAGTTGGTGACAAGCTTTGGATCATGAACTCGGGACCTGTGATGTTGACCAAGAAGGGCTTCAGGGTGAAGATGTATTTGCCTGGCACCCACTTCGGCTGTGACAACATGTTGGGGCTCCTTGGCTTAGGGCTTCGGGGATGTTAGGGATCACAAAGCTGGCAGACATGGCTTTCTGCGGCTGGCACCCGTTTGCATTCGGGGTGTGGACTTAGGTTGTCGCGCAATTACATGGGCACGCTGGTGGCCATGACAGTATGCCATGTGCTCGCTCTGTCCCGCTGCTTGGTTCAAGGTGGTGAAGCTTCTGATTGGTACCAGATTACTCCACATACCGGATCATACTAGAATCATAATATAGGGGTTTCCTAAAATATAGGTACCCCAAACCATTGGTTTTCCCATTGATCATCAGCAATAACCTGGATGATAACTTGGGGTACCCCCATGACTTAGGAAACCTCCATATAGGATCGTTTAGCTGCCCCCATTCTTAAATGGCACCCAGAGGCCGGAAACCAAGGTCAGTCGTACCTGCATGCACTGGAACAGTATCCATCCAAGAGCGCGCATCAGAAGTTGGTCAAGACCCAAAAACGCGAAACTGCTGAGCTGCGCGAGATGCTGGATCGGGTGGCCGTCCGCAAAGGCGCGGTTGCTGAGACTGGACAACTGGACAACTGGACAACTGATCAAGCTTATCAGCGTTATCACGACCGCCACAGCTGCACAATTCTTGTCTTGATTTGATTTGCCATTTTTTTTGGCGTCGTTTTGGTATTGGACTTGGCAATCGTTTTTTTTTTGTTTTGGAGATGATCAAGTTTGAGATGGACCCTGTGGAATGGCTTGGATCCTGGTAGGTGTTTGGCAGCGCTATCAGGGCGAGTTGGCTGGAGCACTGGGTGACTTGCTGTTAGTAACGGGTAGCTTAAATTGGTCACATTCTATGGGGGTATCAGCTTCATATAAGCAACCATAGACTTACAAAACATATCAGAACATATGCATAACTGGTTGGTGGTTTGAACACGTTGGAAGGTTTTAAAAATCCATCCAACACATGGGATTATGATTCCATTGGCGATCATATTGCTGAGATGGGTTGAAACCACTAGCCAGATACATATGTAACACAAATTGAGATTTTACAATATTTTATAATTTCAAAGATTGTTCGGTAAATATCTAGGAATCTGTAGATCGCAGAGAAATGTCCAAGCAGTGTGGGGGTTTGAGATCAAATGGATAGTCCAACCCGAGAATATTGGAGATGTTCCCGTCACCTGATCAGAAGAACATCCACCAACGCTCGGAAGTGGTCGTTGTGCAGAGATGGATCATAGATTTTTTGATCAATGGTGCAATCCTCTAATTACAGTTTTATCGTTAATCATTGTTATATGATAGACATGTTACTGATTCCACAGTTTTACATCGTTTTACGCTTTACTCGATGGGAAAACCTCTAGAGACATTACTGGAAGGGGGTAACTGCCGTCAGCTCAGGCATGAATCAGACGCCAGACGACGAGCTGATCCGTCGAGTGGTCAAGGTTTGGAGATTCACGAGACTTTGGGTGATACCAACCATCTGGAATGATTTTGATCAATGGTAATCCTGAGGTCCTGATTTTGATCGAATATGATTGAATACTCTTGAATCATTGAATGATGTAATTCATGGAACTAAACCTTCGGGTTTCATTTTGCGCACATTCATCGGAATGACCCATAAAATCCACGAGGACATCTCTGTCACACTTTCGCGCAGCAGGGCTGGCACGACCAAGTGCGAGTGCTTCGGGAGAAGCGTTTGCAGAATGCGATTCGCCATGAAGACATGCTCCAAAAATTGGAAGGCGGGCTTCTGCGGGCCGATCATCCGTGAACACTGTTGGCATAGATGGCATTTCTGGGCGTGTCTTGATGGCTTTCAAGCGATCCAGATCATGGACATACAAAGATAATGGCAATCAAGTCCCCTTCAACTGCATGATCTTGGAATGCACAATGTGGTACAGTTTGACATGACATTGCTCACGTGATACATTCTGCACATCTTGAACATTGGGAATGGTTATTGTTTATGTGTTTTTAGAGATGCATGTTATGATTCTACGATAGCCTCTGAATATTGAATCCACAACAGTCATTGAACTCTTTCCCAGGATTCAAGCAGAAACTTGCAGATGGAAAGCAGCGAATCCAGCAGCGATCCAAGCTGAAGGACGTGTCTCACTCAGGTGATCAAAAAGGCCACTGAGAGGTCCCAGCTTTCCCAGGAGCTGTTGAAGTGGAACCTCACAGAACGAGGGCCACTGAAGTACATGGAGGACCTTTAGAACTTTAGGATTTCTTGGATTTATAATGTATAATGCACATGCATACATACATATATATGTATGACTTATATATGGATTTATGGTTTCTTCAGTTTCTTGGAGATCTTTGCTGTGGGGAGGAGTCGAAAAAACCAGATCCTGTGATGCAGTCGAATCTGGAAAAGATCCAGGCCCCAGGGCCTCCGAAAAAGTCATAGTCGAAGCTTGCAGTTTCTTTGGGTCTGAAAGTTAAGTTCATTAACATTTCATTACCCCATATTTTTATCCATATTTCCACCCCCATCTATGGCCATTTTGACTGGAAAAGCGGAACACCGGTGGTTGACCACTGGATTTAGGGGTACTGTACCCTACTTTCAGACAAACCTCTTGCATTGACATGGCAAAAGAGTCATCAATGATGGGCCTTCCAATGGGGCTGTAATAGATCGGCTGTGATGCTAGTCAACTCCTACCCAGACGGAAGTTGCGGGATGCTAGCGCTTCTAACTTAGAACTTCTTTTCTTACACCCCAATCTATCATAATCTATCCATATCCCATGGTTTAAATTGGTTAAATTCCCCATTTGCCAGTGAACTCCGCCAAGAGAAAGCCCGGGCCTATCCAGGCTTGGCAAGTCGCCTCGGATCCCTGGGCAGATGAAAGCAGTTGGCCGGAGACAGCACAGCAACATGAGATGCTGAAGGACCATTCTGACATGGTGGGTTGATGAGGATTAATAGGAAAACCATCTATGTAGAATCAAGAAAAAGATGCAAAACAACATCTGGGAAGAAGGGCAAGCAATAGAATCGAACTGTTAGATTTTCGACAAATGAGGTAGAGACCCAACTTCAACTACATTTTCTTTTTGATTTCAGGTGGGAAAATATGTAACAGCTCGGTCCTTGGGTATCCGCCAGGACTGGCCGCGACCGAGACCTAACCCTCACTACCGCCTGCACGTGTGGGATGTGGTCAGGCGCGAGGAGAACTTGATGTAAAGAGGATGAACAGTGGCAAAAAAAATAACAAGAATGGCTCAAAGCCACCATGATGGCTAAAAACACCGTGAAAAAATACCATGCAGTTCTACGGGTTTGGACGGTGGCTACGGATGCTTAGAGCATAGAGCCAAGCAGCACGCCACAACCCATCGCACGAGATTTCTGCCATAGTTTTTGCTGGGGGGCCAACCTCTCGGCTTGTAGGCAGGAGCTTCGCTCCCAAGAGAGTGGCCCGCCTAGCCGCATGCTCCCATTACTGGGCACCAAAGGGAAGAGGCGTGTTATATGCTCTGGCTGAATCATTTTTGCCAACAAATAGCCCTCGCTACAATGGGGAACATGATGACGAGGATGAGAACAAATTACACATACGAGATTTTGGGGCACCCAATTTTCGAACAAACCATTCAGCTATATTAATATCCAATTATCTTCTAATTTCCTTTTCATAGAGGGCTGTAAAATTTTCGACCCCATGGTTGTGCTGAGCTCGATGTTTGTCGCCAGGAACGAAGATGATTTGCTTCCAAAAGGTGGGCCCAAAAAGAGCAGTTCCTGGTTTGATCCATCATTAATGTATGATTCCACTATTAAGTATGTAGTTTTTGCAGTAATCTGTATTCGTCCATTATTTATCATTTGTCACTATTTGTCATTTGTCATGATGGGAGAAATCGGATTGAATATTTAATCATTGATCCATCATCGAATCATTTATTCTGAGGTGGTGTTGATTCATGGATTTCATGATTGATCCATCATGGGGGTTTCCATATCCATTTGGGTACCCCCAAATGGTTTATAATGGAACATCCATCTAAAAATTGATGATGACCCCCAGTTATGGATGGTTTATAATGGAACATACCATAACATACCATGGACCATACCATTAAAATGGATGATTTGGCAGTAGCCCTGTTTCAGGACCCCCCCAGGTGGAATTCTGGTGGAATCTGGACCCCGCCAGGTCCAGAGACTTCAGGCGAACTGGGCAAGCAAATTCCAATGGCATCCCTCAAAATATGACATGATCCCCCAAGAATCTCTGGTTTACTATGGGAATGTATGACATGATGCCAATGAGGGTAATGTATGGGAATGTATCGGAATGTCCTGATTCGTTGTGAATTAAGAATTGCTTTTGGCGGCCTTTGGCTTTTCAGCGGATTTTTGTTCTGCTGCATGGCCACAGGCCCGAAAAAATCGGCTGCAGCTGGCAAGTTCCGCACCGGAGTGAAGGCAGTCCTGTTGAGTCTTGGCAGAAAACTGGCAGAAACTCGTTCACCAAATCATCATAAATTCTCTGACCATATCCCAAGTACCCTGTGGCATCCCCATTTACATCATTTATTACATCGTTTACTTTGGGAACATAGATGCTTTATGATATTTTAGCATTTTTTGATGGTCTCCAAGCGGAAACCGCGGAAACCTGGCTGTCGCTCAGGACGCGTTTGCTGAGTGCACGCCCAACCGTTGCGGCCGCAAAGGCGACGGCTGCTGATCTGGCAGGCCAGGGTGGTGAATGATGCTGAAATACTGGTGTGATTCAAGTAACTTCAAGGTGGAAGTGCGCAAACTGGTGGGTATGATATGATATGTGCGATTTTTACTACCCTGAAGAAAGGACAGTCCACTCTATGTGCCCTCAAGTATTCTAAGTATTCTATGTTCCGAATGCAGGCTTCAAGTAATCCATGATCTGAATGCAGGCTATACCAAGGTAGGGAAAAGCCAGAGGATTTTTTGGGACGCAACCAGGGGAACTGCAACCTCAACTCCACCGGAAGGCCGAGTAACCTGAGTCCAAGTGAGGAGAGTATTGTTGACCGCCCCAGGAACTGGACACGGCGGCAGTGTAGATTGTAGATACCTAGTTGGCTTCAGAAAACTGTAGCTAGCTGCCGAGTGTGCCTGTGAGCTTTGGATATTCACTGGTGCCTTCTGCTGTTAGCCAATGCCACATTTTCATGAGTGGCGGCTGCCCGATCTTTCTGCATACTCGGCGCCAGGAATTTGAGTTAATGCAAGCCTTGTCAGCTTTGGGCAAAGCTCAAAAGCTGAGAAGTGCCACTATCAAAACGCCCGGCACAAGACGCGCGCGCAGAATGGACCAGCCAGGCACTGGAATTGGTCTGGCAGGTGACCCAGTTGGAAGTCGAGACATCGCATTGCAAAAGTTGTATCGGCAGACCTTGAAGCAATGTCTCAGACCACAGAATGCGGCTTTGGAGGGACCTGCTGAAACAAGCGCATGTGGAATGAAGTATGTTGAAATGGGTGAATTGTTGAGATCTGTTTTGGTGGTTTGATCAACGCATTGTGCAAGAAATAAACATCATTAATGGTAGCTAATTATTATATGATGCTATTCTCAAGTGCCACTAAAGGATGAACCAAACTCCGCAGTGCGATTTTCCCGCTCCAGGTGCTGACGATGGAGGATTCAAGATTTGGGATACGAGGCATGTCGCTGCAGGCCTGGAAATGTAGTTAGGATAATATCTATATATTAGTATATATTATATAGTAGATATTGATGTTTTTAATATGTATATATACATATAAACATATAAACAGATAAATAAATGTATATATATATATTAATCATTATTAACCTATATATCTCTATATGTTTCATTCTATGTTTTTTCCATACACGACATGTAAGCGTCGAGGGCCCATGGCCAACTTTCTGTGGCACCGGCAAGCGGTGACCTCGGTCGACTGGCCCGAGCCTCGAGATGGGGTTCGATGGGGAAAAGCCATGGATTTTCGCCACTGAAAATGATCTAAAATGATGAACTGTGATAGTTTGATGATGTTTGATTCATATAGTTTTATGATGTTTTATGATATTTTATGAACTTATGCCCAAGTTTGGATCAAACCCCATCGCTCGAAACTTGGCATCAACCAATGACACCAGGAGCTTTAGCTCTGATCATGGTCTGCCGGGTGGCGCTCCATTATAAGTACTGGAATAAGTCATCACAGTTTTTTGAGTCCAATTATTTCTATATTTGAAGGGGTATTGAACCTTCTATTTGAAGGGGTATTGTCCCCCGAAACCCCGAAACGATGGGGAGTTTAGTGTTGGTTTTGCACATGACCATACTGGGAGATGGTCACCCCCTTTCCTTAAAATCATATCCAACACATCCCAATATTTCCAATGTAGACTTATGAATTTACCCAATATTCACACGATATATCCCAACACTACATAGCCAGATGGTGGTGCGCCAGTTATGTTTGTTGGATACCAAGGCACCCCAGTGATGAAACTGTCCTAGCGGTGGCTTCAGCTGACGTTGCTCAGCTGAACTGAGGGTAGGGGAAATCAGAGGCCCCATATGTTGCAGGTCCTGTTTCCTCAGATTTGGTCGCGTTTCTCTACTGCTGTGACTAACAATTGATCTCATTGTTAGATATTGTTAGTATTGATCCTTTTGATCGTACTATTCTTGCGTGCTCACTCATATTCCCAGGTTTAAATTTACTTTTGCGCTTAAGAATCTTAAGACATGTCAAAAACCAATGGGACCATGCATTTTGTGGAAACAGTTGCAGGATTCCGTCTCCTTATGGGACATGGCGGTCGAGGACAGATTTGTTGCGCCGTCAAACAGTTGGCTATATGCGTATAAACTCACGATGTGTATATGATATAACATGTACAATGTATATCAAGACGCTACAACCCTGACTCTATGTGCATATTGGAGATGCATCCAGAATCCAGACTGAAGACACTTCAGGCATTCTCCCACTCGTTTTTTTGGATGCATCGCCTCGAATTCACTTCTGTGGCTCTTGCAAAGAAGGTCATATCATTAATGCAGCCGAACACTCCAAACACCACAGGCCAAACATGGCCAGAAAATGGGCAAATAGAGAGAACCATTAGTAGGATGAAGCCATGAAACTTTGCAAATCACCACTGGGCCTCTCCCATTTCTTGTAGCGCCAGATCCCCTCAAAATGGAGACATCTTTGGCTGTGGTGGCGCAACGCGCCGGCTTCAAGGAGCAGATTATGTCTTTGTGGCAACCCAAGGGCATCGGAAGTGATCCCCCTTCGTTGACGGTGAAGGAGGTGAGGATCCACATTTGCCGATCCTTTGACCTATTTCCCCATGGGTAAATCCACTATTTGGATCTATTTGGGGGAATCTATATGGAATATTAGTATAATATTAGTCACATCAATTGATCGATTTTTGTGCACCATCTCAGCCCTCCAAGGTGAGTATCCACATCCCAGGATCCATAGAGGTGCTGGTGTTGCCAGTTTACACCAATACCAAGGTCATCGAAGTGAAGACTCTGCTGGAGGAGCGCTTGTCCGTGAGCCCCGGATACATCCGGCTGGTGCACAAACAAGGGCCCAACTATCGGGTGCATCAGGACAATGAGGAGATTGCACGAAAGGTCACAGTCCACGGCATCAAGTCCTTCAAACGGGTGGAGGCACAGTACAGCCTTCCACATATCATCATCGGTGCTGGTCACATTGGCTTGAAGCTGGCGATGACTTGGATCATGGAGGGTTACAGCAACTTCGTGCTCTTTGATCGCAAAGGCCAGGTGGGTGGAACATCTTGGATCGACCAGGCGAATTCGACATCAAGGTTGCAAACAGAGGTTGGAGTGTACCACTTGCAATATCATGAACACAATGATTGGCCCCTGTGGGCCGTGGAAAATCCTTGGCCATCAAGAGACAAGTTGCTGGAACATTTCCAGGAGGTTTCGGAGAAGTTCGGCATTCTTCCCCACTGCCGGATGAACACCAACGTCAAGTCCTTGAACGTGGTAGGCAGGGACTATTGGAGCCAGACCTATGAGCTGACGATCAAGACCAAGGGCAAAGACGAAGAGGTGGTGAAGGGTGCATCTGTGGCATTTTTCCCAGGTAACCTCACCAATCCAAAACGTGTCACCTATCCAGGGGAGGATACGTTTGATGGAGACATTGTCTATGGCATCAGCAGCCAGTTCGATTACTCCAAAGTTCGTGGGAACAGTGTGATGATTGTGGGTAGTGGTGCTTTTGCAGTTGAAAATGTCCGCACGTGCGTGGAATTTGAGGCCCAAAAGGTGTACATGGTGTGCAGACGCAAGACCATTTCAATGCCCAGGCTCACTTCGTGGCTCATCAATCAATCCTATGACTCGTTGTCTGCAAAACTGACCCTGGAATCCATGGAGCCAATGTACAATCTCATTGGCGTAGACCAATGGTCTTACTATGCAGTGTCAGCCAACGAGTCCAGAACAAGTGTCACCATCAAACAGAAGTCCCGCTTTGGCATTGGAGATGTCTACTTTTTGGGCATGGCCTGTGGCTTTTGCGAGCATATCGTAGATGATACCAAAAGGGTGAGTGGCAAGACCATCCATCTTTTCAGTGGCCGTAGGTTGGAAAATGTCTCGCACATCCTGAAGCTCTTGGGCTTCAATGGCGAGTTCGAGAACGACCGTCTCCTGAAAATCAAAGACCTCTATGGCTGGTGGGCGAACAAGGATTTCCGCCGCTACATTGTGGCGGAGCCTATCTATGTGGATGCCAACAACTTTGGGAGTACCAGCTTTTCTCCGGGAGCCATTATGTGGGCTGAGCAGCAGGTCTACATGCTGAAGTACCCACAAGAGTGGGCCACTGTCATGGACAGTGGGATGCTTCCAACACATGAAGCAGAGGACAGGACTTGGTTAATGTCCGATTTCGATCCATTTTGGGAATTTTCAATGCCATTGAACAATCCCAAGATTGTTTATCATGGTTTATCTATCTTGGCTTCGGTTTCGTGATCCCCTTATGTAAATCAAGAGTTTCCGAACCTAGGTGTCACATGTGATCAAAGGAAGTCAAAGGAAGTTTCGTTGGGAACCGAAACTGAGTTACAGACATAAAGATGGAGGTTTCCATGGCGGGACGCCCAGTCCTCATCCAAATTTCAATGGGTAGCTTTCACCTGGGCTTGTTTGAAAATAGGGTACCAATATAAAATCCACTTGTTTTTTTCCCAATATAAAATGCTAACTTGTGGGCACACCCCATTTTCAGACAGAGCCAAATAGTTATAGTTGGTTATATATATAGATCCTCTGACATCCCTATTAAATCCCCTATGAAACATCCCCGTGAACTGGTTACATAACATATATATAGTTGGTTTTATAAGATCCCGGCATTTTTCCATGGATTTCCATGGTTTTTCATGGAATTTCATATAAATATCGTGGCACTCCCATGGAAATCATGGAAACCTCCAATGCCAATGGGGCCACCGCAGGAAGAATTCAGCCGCCCCGCCTACGTCGTGGAGGCCCGGCACGGGGCCCTGACAGCGATCACCCTTGCCTCCATGGTGCGTGGCCTCGCAGAGCGCGGCGCCGTGTGGGGCCCGCTGAAACGACAACGGCAACGGGAAATCCACCCACCAGAGACCTGGCAAAAACCCGGGGAAAGATATGGCTAGGGATCAATGCCACCATTTGTAAATGGATGAACATCCATTTGCAAGCTATTTTGATGTTCACCAGGGGTACAAGGTTTTGACCCATCCCCATATCAGAAAAAAAACTGAGGAAAACGGGTGAACAAGTTGGACAAAATGATGAACAACTGGTGAAGCGTTTCGAACACATGAGGAAAACTGCATAAACATGGTGAAACCTGGTGAAAAACGAGCAGTCAAAACCTCTGGTTGATGATTAGTTCGGGGATTCAACGATCCAATGGGAATGCCTATAAAAACGAGCCAGCATAGTGGAATCACAGAGGGCTTTGGACACTGATCAAAGGATGAAAAACAGTGAATAGTGATCGTGTGGATGATTTCTTATATCTATATATAAATTGATTGTTATGACGTTTGTGATTGTTGATAATTATATGTTGATATGATTTATTTTGTTCTTGAATGATTGCCTTGCTGTTTCTGTCCATTATTTTGGCTGTACACTTTTTTCCTTGTGTTTCCTTTTAGTTTATACAGATGAAGTGATGATCATTCATGAAATCAATGGATCTTCAGTCCGTCCTAAGATGGGGCACCAAAAACCATTGGGGAAACCCCCAGGTAAAATGACCCACAACTGGGATGATTTCCACCATTTGATTGAACAATGTAGTTTTTTTTTTTGGGGGGGGTCCTTGCTCGCAAATGCAAGGAGAAGATCCTAGAGTGCGCCAAGCGCGAGTGGGATGAGTGGAAGAAAACTTTGAATGATTTGGGCTATGAAAATACGCCAGAATATCCCTACAATAAGGAGAACCTCGGTGTTTACTGTGCCGCCGAAGTCGCAGAGGCTACTAGGAAGTTTGGCCCGCTTCCTCCCTGATCGCCTGCCCTGATCGCCGATCGCCTGACGTCAAAAAAGTGAGTTCGAGTCTTCTTTTCTTCAGCATGGACAGGTGGCTATCATCTGGTAAACTAACATAGCTATTGAGAATGGCCATAGAAATAGTGGATTTTCCCATCTAAAAATGGTGATTTTCCATAGTTATGTAAACCTTTATGAGAGGGTATCAATAAAAAAACAGCCCTGAATTGGATGCTAGAATTCATGCTGGTTGTGTGTGCCAGGATGATGCCCCAGGCCGGCGGCCCAGCATGGCTTGGGGGATCGATCCCGTATGTGATTTGATTATATAGCTATTTCAATAATTATCAATCCATTATTTGGGCAAACCCTCTGAGAAGCCCCGGCAAAAAAATATTTATGATTACTTTTTTAAAATGAGAAGTGGTCTAATGCTTTAACAACATTCGACAACAAATCCGATACATGACCCCAACAGCATTGGTGTGATCTTTGGTGAAATAGATCATCAAGTATGATGGTTGCACCGCTGGAACCACGCTGGAACCAGGTCGAGAAGTGCCCCAGGGAGCCGACCACTTCCCACCACAGCTGTTATTCCTGCACCAGGTGTGGCGGCAGCTGTTGCCGGGTTGCCAGGGGGACTATACCCTAAGATAACAAAAAATGTAGAAGAATAAACATGAATAAACAATTTCAATGGAAAAAATGATGAATTGGGTTTGAGGATGTTTTAGGGGTCTCCTGTTTTCAAACAACTCAGGCCCCTGTTTTCAAACAACTCAGGGGGGGGTAAGGCATGTGCTGCTAGGGCCTTTGATGCACCAATCAGAGACAACGTCCCAAACATGTTTCGATTTTTGTTTGGACGTCTTTTGTGTTCGGGGTATTTTGGACCCAACGTGTCATAGGCCCATTCCTATCCCATTGCTGTGTATTCCTGTTCTTGGAACCATCGGCTGATGACCAGGGGCAGAAAGAACCCAAAGAACTGAAGTGGCTTGGCAAATCCACTTCCGATGTTTTTGTGTGCTGTTTGCAACTTTGAGCAATGCAACAGGGGGTTGCCAACATGGCGCAAACAACCATGGCCAGTGCTACTGTAACATGCTCGTGGGGGGGGGCAGGGCGTCGCAACAAATCGTGGCAGGTCTCTGTAAGATCATCCACATGTTCTTGTTAAGGGATGGTCTGTAAAATCTGTTTGTGTTTGGGCAAGTGCAAATGAGAGTCTGCAAGGGACACATATATTTGTTTTTGAACAAAACCAACCGATTTTTTTTCCTGCCTATGAACACAATCATCGCAATCCCAATGTGAGACCATGCAAAACCCGCAAAGAAAATCACCAATAATCCCGTTCCCACAACAGAACAAAAACCCGTTGTCTCCTTCGCAGCATGCCCGTGGTGCCCGTGGGGGACTTTTTGCTGGGCGGTGCAACAATTCACGGCAGGTCTTTGTAAGATCATCCACATGTTTTTGTTATATAAGGGATGTCCTGTCTATGGTCTGGGATCTTTGGGCAGTGTGCAAATGAGTCTGCAAACGATTCACAACATGTTGTTGTTTTCTTAAACAAGACAAATCGTCGCAAACCATCGCAAACCTGAAGGCACGTCACTAAGCATTACAGGGTCGTCCGCATTTCTTTTTAAGCTGGCCGAGTGTTTGTGACTTTGGCAGCAAGGGGGTTGCCAACCTTGCGCAAACAAACATGGCCAGTGCTACAGTGCTGTGGTTGGGATCATCCATGTTTTCATTTACGCTGTTCATACAATCAGCAGTGTGCACGGGGGAGGGGGCAGGGCGGCGCAAAAAATCGGGGTCCACATGATTTTTTGTGAAGGTATTGATATGTATTGATTGTTCGTGGTTTGGGCAGCGTGCAAATGAGTCAAATGAGGGTTTGCAAAGATACTGTCACTTGTTTCTGCCTGTAGCAGCAGGTTTGGGGTCATCCACTTTGGGTTTGAAAGGATCTGGCACGTTTTCGCCGAATGGCACCGCCTGGCACCGTGAAAAAGACAACAAATGCCGTGGCAAATCTGTGTGGCAGAAGTTGCTGTCACTTGTGCATTTTGAAATGCCTAACTGCTTGCAGGTGGCATCCACAACTCTCCAGCGTTTGTATTGTTACAGCTGCAAGTGGCTTGATCTGCAGCAAAGGTTCTACCATGATAGCTCTCTGCGTGATTCAAATGGTTCTGTTTGTGACATTTGGATCCATTTGGATCCATTTGGCCATTTGGCTGATCGATTTCTCGAGGTGGATTCAACATTTTCAAAACTTGCGACTTTTCTGCATTTTTGGATGTCATAGTTTTAAACATGTTTTTTGTTCAGACTCAGCGGTGACTTGCCCACGAAAGAATGCGAAGTCGAGGCAATATCTGAGTGTGCTCCTTTAACTGAGTCTTGCCGTGAGTAGATCGTCACGCTGGCGCAAACAAAGAATATTAAAGAATGAATTAGCTCCACTGACGGTTTGCTCTGTGTATGCAGTGCGATCCCTGTTATGTGGACTACCAACACAATCTCCTCTGTATACAGTTATAGTTATATTCGTTTATTTTTTTTCACAATATTTGCGCACGGCTGACAAATCGTGCCCATAAACCGGTGAGACTTCAGTTTAGACTCAGACTCCTGATGTTTAGAGACGCAATGCAGCAACAGAAGACCAAAAAAGTCACCTCCATTCCTGCTCCCAAGAAAGAAATACGACTTACAAGGTTGACTTGTGTTTTCTTAAACAAACTTTAAGGGTGTTGCGTCATTTGGGCGGGTCAAAACATTTTTTTAGGCTGGCTTCAAAACGTTGTCGTTCATGGATGTTCATCCTCCCATTCCCATGGAAATCCATAGGTGCTTATGATAAAATCCCATGGATCTCCGATAGCACGGGTAGTCGATCACATCCCAACTAAGACTCCATTGGTCATTTTTTTAAAACATATTTCTATTTTACACCATCAAACCATAAGCCTATTTGGATCCATCCCAGTCTTCCCAGACTTGATCTAAGTCTAAACCAAGAGTTGCAGGAAACCTCATAATCAATGCTTGAAACATGTAAAACCATGGAACAAATGATCAAAAACAATCAAACACAATCAACAACAACATGTTCCATCATGTTCCTTCAATCCAACTGACATAGGGAGGACCTCTGCATTCTGCTCACATTTGGCTCAAAAAGGGGGCGGAGTGCCCAGTCGGCCCCTTTCGGTGTGAAGCTCAGAGCTGCATAACAAGTTGATATTTGACATATATTTGACATATTTGATGTTCTTTGGGAAAACCATGGAAAACCACCATTTATTTAAAATCCCAAATAAATCACTTATATTTTGGGATCCAAATATATTTAAACCACCATTTACCCCAGCTATTTCTGGTTGTTTGGGGTAAAAATCCCGCAACCTCCGGGATGACGGCCCGGCGCTAAGTTCAACTACGGAATGGCAGCGGGAGCAGCCGCTGCCGTTTGGGCGCCAGTGCTGACGGTGTTTATTGAATCATTTGTGGAGAGATAGAAGACAAATAATGTTGAGTTGAATCTATGGATTCATTTGACTGGTTGAGCGTAGACAGATAGAAAGGAGAGTAGAAGCGGCAGAAGCAGAGAGATATCACTTTGGATGTGCGTGTTTGGCTAGTTGCAGCTTGTTGATCCTACTGAAGTCACATGGCACCAAAGTGAAAGCCCCTAGAGGCCCATCATGCGACGGGCACAAAAAATAACGCTGGAAGCTCAGTGCTGAGAGAAGCTCCACAAATTTTGCAAAAGTTTTTTCCACAACATCCGTGATCTCAGGTTGCTCCATATACTCCTGAAGGGAATGTGGAGAAAGTTGAGGACATCTAGATGTTGTTCGCCAGCACAGCAACCACTATAGCTTTCTGTGCAGCCGCGAGGATGTGGTGAAGCCGATCAAGAGCTTAGGCAAGGGTGGCCTAAAAAACAGTTGGGGAGGATTTTTAGCACCAACGAATGGTGAAAAAAGGGGAGGGGATAGTTATCGGGTTTACCATGGTTTACCACATGAGTTATCAGATCTTGACGATCTTGACGATATTACTAAGCCACGAAGCAACAACCAACAATCACCAACTATGGATTGACGATTTGTAAGGATGGTATTAATTGATATTAATGGTATTAATTACCATCAATAACCAACAATAACCAATAATCACCAACAGTTGGTCCCATCAGAAATTGCTGACGAAAGTGTCTGGTGGAAGGTGATGAGCGGATGATGTCGACCACTTCCTCAAGTAGCAGCCGCTCTGTTTCAAAAGACCCGGTTGGTTGATGATTCTAGGCGATTATACTGATACTACTCAAATTTGTATGTACATAACACATATTATAATATATTATAATATATTATAATATACATATGTATTGGAGATTATCATAAATGTTGAATTTATTTTGACTTCACATGCTCGCTCTGCACTTCCATATTGGTGAGATGGAGATTACGTTTGCCGTGGAATTGTGGGGAGGGCTTCGCAAGTATACAGACATTGCAACAGATTCATGATTCAACTCCCTGGCAACCACAGAATCTGTTCTTTTGGGGGATCCAATGTTGACAAGACACACAGAGATACTGATTGATACTCAAGTTCTCAGCTCAGCATGTGATGCGCAAATCTCCATGAGTGTTTGCAGCTGTGCCTTAGGTAAGCGAAGGATAGAGGCAATAGAACTACCCGCTGGCTCCTTATTGTGCTACAAAGTTGTCGTGAGTGTAAGTTCTTGAGCCATCCCGAGCAGTTGACTTGCCCAGCGCAGCATGAAGTGCGCGTCCTTCTTCCAAGGCTGGTTGTTGGAAGTATCAGCCAAAAGCGGAGAAGTTCCAGAGTTGCACAAAGAGCGCGCAGTTGGACCAATTCCATGGAAGTCCTGTTGAATGATTGGAAGGGTGAGTATCAGCTAACGTGGATAATTCATGCTAATTCAACCATCAGTGATTAGTTCCAATGACTTCCATTAGACTTCCATTAGGCTTCCATTAGACTTCCATTAGACTTCCATTGGACCACTGCTCATCACCTGGTTTGGTGCTTGGGAATGTCCTTGATGATTCCACCAGGTCAGATCAATGTTTCACAAGAATTCACAATATCTGGAATATAATACAATATAATACAATATAATATAATATATAGATGATTATAAATTATCAAGATTCAAAAGAAGTGACAATCTGACAATAATCCTACGAAAAGTCCCCACTCCCCATTTTTGGGACTTCCCCATCATTTATGGGATCTCCCTTTGTGGCTCCCAGGCTTTACACCAACATGAAGGTGCAGCTTTTCGTGGCCGCTTTGATCGCTGGGAACTTCCTGTGCAACATCATCGAAAAGTGGATCGATCCCGCGGGGACCGAGTGCAAAACTCAGGGAATTTTCCGGCCATGGGTATCCCATGGCTATCCCATGAGCGATCCATTGGATCCTTTTCATGAATTTTCCATAGTCCATGACAGGAAAAGCTGGTGTGTATTGACCATGTTACGCGGAAGTGTTAGAATCTGTTAGAAGTCAGTTTTCGGGCGGACATATGGCAAGACCATGAGGTATCCCGACCTCTTTTACGGCTTCGAGACCTTTTTCAACACCATGTTTTTCTTCGAATTGCTTGTGAACATGTATGCATTCTGGTGCTGCCGCTTCTGGAAGTCTGGTTGGGAGCTCAGTGGTGCACTTTCAAGTCAACTTGCACTCTTTTACGACAATGAGTCATATTCAATCATGTTCAGTTTATTTTGAAGGTTTTTCAGAGGAACAAGCCTTCAACATGTGAAGACGCCCAGCAAGACTCACATTCTATGCTTATAATTACGTGCATATGTAATATATATATATACAATTATATATATAATATATTGTATGTATGCATATATATATATATGTATACGTATATATGTAAATATATATATGTATATATATATATGGTATTTAAACAGGGAAATGATAATTATGATTATGATGATGATGATGACGACGGTTTTTTAAGGGTATCCTATCCCCAAGCGAGACATGCCCCAGAGTCGTCTGGTTCATGGTCAAAGACTGGGCACCGGTGAAGTGGGCACTGGCTACATCGTGGTGGGTGGACCCAGTGAACATGGAATGTTTAAGATTATATGTATTATATATATATATATATATACAATGAGTACCAGTTGGTCTGTACATTGATGACAGTTTCGGGATATATGATGATATATGTTTATTTACAGTGTTTTTACGTATGTGCATACATAACATTCTACTCCTTCTCTCCCTTTCCATGACGCTACACCACATTGACATCACGTTGCATCGCTAACATCCACGGGTTCCATGGCCCATCAATGGCCAATCAGCCAACACTTCTCTCCGTTGAGGCTGGAACATCTTTGATTTTGTCGTTGTTGCAATTGGCATCCTCTCGGTCCTGAAGGTGCCGCGGGAACAAAACCGGGGACGAATGTTGGTTGATGATGTTGATGATTTGGTGGGCGATTTCTTGTTCCAGAAATCAGACATCAGGATTTTTGGGGATGAGTTTTGGAGGGTGATTTTCCAATGTGCCCATTGGAGTTGACACATAAATCACGTTTTTCAGAGCGATGATCGTCACGATCGTCACTGTTTCCCAGGTTGAACTTCCTGGACCCTTGAGCATGCTTCGCATGATGCGAGCGTCCGCGGCTCATGGCGGTGGAAGCAGCTGGAAGCTGCCATTGATTTTGGCCCTTGGATTCCCTGAGGTTTCGCGTTTTCAGACTCTTTAAGAGGGTGCGAGCCTCAGACCATGGGAATGCCCAGAGAGATGGAATTGAATAATTTGGACATCTATTATAATTTACTATAATTTAATTATAGATATTATTAGTTGTCAGATGTTATCAGTATTATGATCATGATAATAATTAGCTGACACTTATTCAATGTTAGATCCAAATGATCCCCATCCCCATCTATTAAAAATCCATGTCCTCCGGATATTCTAATGTCAAGTTTCCGGGTGGACTGTGAGATTTCCTCCCTGGACCTGACTAGGTCAAGTCGCTGAACAAAATCATGGTTTCCTTAGCCAAAGTCACGGCCTCAACCAATGTGCACATTCCAAATGTTTCCAGTAGGATGTCCTCATACTGTCGCATGTTCATAGAAGTCTATGTATCTATTCATTACATAAAACATCATAAAACTACATACTAGGTAGTTATATGATGTTATATGTAATATAATTATCGAAGGAAGTTTAGAAGTCAAACTTCTGACAATATGGACGGATGGAAAAGCAGAGGTGAGAAGAGTCAGAGAAGAGAAAGGAAGAAGAAAGAAGATCAGAGAAGAGAGAGAGAGTCAGAAGAAAGAAGATGCAGGGGCGCGAAAAGGTAGGAAAGTTGCGAAACACTGTGTTTTTCCAATGATTTGTGGCTCTGGAGGGTCGAAAAGTAGGCTCGCTAAAGCGGCGGGTGCGGAGCCAGCTGGCGAGAGGAGAGATGAAAAATTGCAGTGGCGCGAAGCACATTTCAAAGTCATAATGCTAAAAACACCTCATGCTTGGAGCACTTTGGGAAGTTGAGGTTTTCAAAAAGCGCACGCCGTTGTGGCGCGAAGCACATTTGGAAGTCAAAATGGCACAAAAAACCATGTTCGGAGCACTTTTGGAACTCGAGATGTTCGAAAACAGCACGCCCTTGTGGCGTGAAGCACACTTCGAAGTCAAAACGTGCAAAGCGCCTCAGGTCCGGAGCACTTTTGGAAGTTGAGACGTTCAGAAAGTGCACGCCGTTGTGGCGCGAAGCACATTTGGAAGTCAAAACTGTAAAAGCACACCACCTTCGGACAAGTTTTGGACGTTCAAGTGTCACGTTTGGTGGCAGGCTGCACTTCAAATGCAACTACGACTACAAGCACATCACACTACACTACATCTACGTACAACTACGGCAACGACATTTAAATATGTGGAGGGCGGGCCAGACCGAGAGGCCCCGGGGGTAGTATGAAATACCAGTTCGTATATTTAAATGTAGCTACCGTATGTTTAAATGAATTGGATTCCGTATGTTTAAATGGCCGGGCGGGCCAAGGAAAACCCAGAGGTAGTCTAAAATACCAGTTTGTATATCTAAAATCCGTATGTTTAAATGTAGTTACCGTGCAGCTACAGCTACAAGTACAAGTACAAGTACAACAACTTGTACATTACACTACACCACACTTCCCTGCACCACACTACACCACACCTACAACTACGTACAACTACACCTACACCTACAGCTACATTTACAGGAACACTACACTGCAATACGCTATACCACACCGCACTACACTACACCACACTACACTACAGCTACAACTGCAGCTACAACGGCAACTACAACAACTACAAATTACAACTACAACTACAACTACAAATTACAACTACAACTACAACTACAAATTGCAACCACAACTACAGGTAGATAGACAGACACATAGATAGACAGAGGGAGAGATAGAGAGACACAGAGGGAGAAGGTGACAGAGAGAAATAGAGAGAGGGAGAGAGACTTTCGATCCATCTGTGGGTTCGCTCTGCCACCCATTTGTCACAACAATCACGTCTCCTATGGTTCCATATCTTCGAAACATTTCGAAACTTCCGCCACCGCTTTGTGCGGGACTACTGGTAAATCTGTATATATATATATATCTATGTATATATATATATGTATTATAAGCATATACTGTCTATCTAGAGCTAGCAGTTGTATATGTATATATATTTTGCAAATCAGAGTTTGAACGTTTCAACGTATTTGTCTCTGTCGGTTTCTGCTGGAATTTTCTACAGTACTTCAAGTGCAGCTTGGATGCAATACGGGTTGGCTCGAGGCAGTTCCGGGAGTGGCAAACGCCTTTTTCATATTGCTGCTCGTGATGTCCATTTATGTGGCTCACTTAGCAATGGGGCAGTCCAAATTCACAGCTCAACGAGGATGCTTCTGCTTGATGTGGAAAAGATATCAAAAACTCTCAGTTTTTTGGATCAGTACTTGTAGTCACTTGGTCCCACTTCAGTGTGCTTCCTAACCTCCCAAAACACTGGTGGGTTTCCAGAAGATTTGCTAAGGCCATCATTGCGGTAGACCTGTTCAAGGACTTCGGCAAAGGATTTAAGTTTACAAACATCAAGGGCAAAGAGGTGGAATTGATTACCAGCCACTGCCTCAGATGGGGAAAGAATGATAAGAATGGGAAAGATAAGATGTTTTTTTTGAGGCCACAGAGTTAAAGTAGATGGTTCTGTGCTGAAGATGCACAATTGTTTCTTTCATTCCTCCGGCAGTTCATATTGGGCAGCAAGACCTTGAAACTCTCAAGTTCTGGGGTTGCACCTGTGCTTGGAGCTCCATTTGGATGATTGTGGAGACCATGGGGGTTCATGGCGGACTGTGGGAACAGGGAATCATGTCACAGGTCGGAAGCAAGAGTATGGCTTCGAATATTTTGGCAACTTCGGGAAGTCCCTGTACACCATGTTCCAGGCAGGTTGAGTTGGATGGCATGGTGCATGGAATATTTAGGTAGCAAGGGACACTGGTTGGTAGCCAAGTTGTTAATTTGAAACAATGGTTCAATATTAATTACTGTAATAGGTAACCCTGTTCATGCGTTTCTGTCCCTAGCAACAATGTTGTTTGAACATGTTTGAACATGGAAACTTAAAATTTTCATTTTTCCCATGATGTGCCACTAACAGAAATATAGATAGAGGATGGTAGAGGATCATACAGAATGATAGAGGATAATACAGCATGATAGAGGATGATTCTCAGTATACGTCAATTTTGGGTCAAACCCACGCCTTTTCATGACTGATACAACTGGCTGCAGATGGCAGTTTTCTCCCGCCTAGGTTCTGACCTGTGAATCCTGGTCAGAGGCGATTGCACGACCCCTTCTGCACTGCCGCTTGATTCGTCTGGATTTGTGATAGGGGCCTTGGAGGGCCTAGGTATGGAACTTGACGGAACTGGAGTAGTTGCGATGATTTCATAAAAGAGAACACCAGGGATATGACAGGGCAACAGGAACCCTTCGACATGTCACGCAGGGAAACCTCCAAAACCGCAGTGGTATTGACGCATGACAGGCACTGGGGTTAGCTGCAAGTGATGACCATGTCAGCTGATCATCTAAGTGTCTGAAAATCACAGGCTCCCCATGGTTCCCCCCAAATTTTCATGGTTCATCATGTGGTTCATCATGCTTCACCACCATTTTCCCCATCAGCAATGGCAACCATCTCAGGTAACAGTGTCGCTGAAGCCTTTGGCGTGGCCTTCTTTTTTGTATCCTTCATCGTTGCCAAGCTGTCCTGTTTCGAGGGCAGGAACAATGGGGGTTGAACCAGCAATAATCAGGGAAACTGGGGATAATCATGGGGGTATCATTGATGGATCTAGTCTTATAAATATATGGGATGTGGAGTAGCACACAATATGATGGGTTTGTCCGGAACTTTTCAGGGAAACCTTCCAAATCTATCAAAATCTAGTGGTTTAGAAAATCACTTTCCCTTTAATGCTGGCCATCAAATGAGGCTTATACCATCTTATACCCTTATACTGGTTGGTGCTTTGGAACATGTTTTTCATTTTTCCCATCATATTGGGCATGTCATCATCCCAACTGTTACTCACTCCATCGTGAATTTCAGAGGGGTAGGTTAGGTATGGCCCCCACCAAGCAGATAGATACTTTCTAACCATTAACCATAGATAATCATCAACCATTAACCATAGATAATCATCAACCATTAACCATAGATAATCATTAACCATTAACCATAGATAATCATTAACCAAGCATTTTCGATACCTGTTTCCTGAAAAACGTCGCCTGGCCGCCAGGTGAATGCCATTGTGCTGATCAATGTGGTGGTTGCCGTCTTGTTGGAGAAGATGGTGGATGATACGGACAAGAAGGAGGCCCCAAAAAAAGGGGCGACCAACGGCGGGGCCAGAAATTTTGGACCGGTGGAAGCTGGATTTTGGACTGGAGGGTAGACTCAGTGACAGTAGACTTTTGTAGAAAAAATACTAAACCTGGATTTTATGGGATAAATTGGGATTCTTTACTATTCGTTTGAGCATATTACCTCTTGGGAGCATTTTTCAATGAATGGCTGATTATGTTTTTTTCTTTTCCGGATCTGAAACCATCCATTTCTGGGGTTGATTTAAAAAACACATAACTCATCGGGATTAACTTGTGCAAGAGAAAGTGGGATCTTGAAAATTGTTGATGAAAATGGTGATCTGAATCTGAATCCGCCAATATGAGTATGGGTCAGCATATTTCAAGGCACTAGTAACTAGTAGAGACCACAGATATGTGTCTTGAGGAATCAGACCGCAGCAAACGTAGGATCTTTGGACGACTTACTTGTGATGGCTTGTAAAGTGACTAATATCCAAGCCACACTCGATCGTACAGAGAGACTCGAGTGCCAAAGTTCGGCAGATGCTCATGTAGTTTGAAATTTGAATACATAGTTTTGCCGTCAAATTATTGAGTTCATTCTTTTACCCTCTGGTGAACTAACATAGCAATTGAAAATGGCCATAGAAATAGTGGATTTTCCCATTAATAGCATGGTGATTTTCCATTGCTATGTTAGTTCACCAGAGGGTAACCAAAATCAACATTTCAGCAACGATCTTCACATCCCAGCTGTGATGATTCTTTGAATCCAAGCCTCTGGAGGCTGCAATCGATGAGGAAGAGGAGGTCGAAGAGGTAAGGTATGCAGATCGTTGGATTGCAACGGCCAATCCAACATGTTGGTTTTATGGGATTTAATGGGATTTTATGGTGGTTTTATGGGATCTAATGGGATTTAATGGGATTTTATGGTGGTTTAATGGGATCTAATGGGATTTCAGATTGGATTTACCCTCTGGTTATGACTAACATAGCCATGGTATAGATGGCCCATAGAAATAGATGGTTTCCATATGAAAAATTGTGATTTTCCATGGCAAACTGTTAAATAAACAGATGGTAAGTAACAAAGACGAGCATTTTATGAAACAACATGGGGGATCCCCCACCAATGGAAGAACTTGTCTAAGAGAGACAACAACAGGTGGATGAACATCCGAACAGGGCCCAGTTGTTCCAAGAGATGGTCCTATGAGGAGCGAATCCTTCAGCATTTTGAATCGGTGTCCAGGCCGAAGTGCAAGAGATTGTGAACACCAAGGCGGTTTTTGCATGTTTTTGCTGGGGGCTGTGGCGTGCCTTGATATATACGTGTAATAATATATATTATATATACATAAACATGTATACAAATATAGACATATATATATATATCTACATATACAAATATAGACATATATATATATATATACACATATACAAATATAGACATATATATACATACATATATATATACATATATATATACATATATATATGTGTATATATATATATACATATATATGCATACATATATATATCGAGTTATATCGGGTTTGTAAAATGTGGGATATCCCAAAGGTGCAATCTTTCTGAGAAAGATGATATCTGTTGAATCGGGATACGGCATTTCAGTTAATGTCGCAGAGCCAATAATCCGATGGACGGGATTCCAACTTTGGAGGTTTATGGCATTGGGTTTACCACATTATATATACAATCTATTTGCCATGGTCGAGACATAGGCAATCTCTTTGCATGTTGCAGGATGGTAATCAATCCATTCATATGTGGAGAAATATCACCATTCAAAGGATTCCAATTGTGGGATGGATGAGCAGAAACCATATTAATTCATATTTTTAGTTGGTATATACTCCCATTAATCCCATGTTTGCCCACATTGTTGATTATTAATCCCATGAAATCCCTCTTGAAGTCCCTATTGTTGATGATTAAATCCCATAAAATTCTCCCATGAAATTTTCGGAGTACTAATCATGGTACATTGACGTAGTTCCTGCCATCATATTCCAATGATATGTCCATTTAATGGTCTATGGTAACCTGGTAGATTACCGGTAAATCCCATTACCCTCTGGTAAACTAACATAACTATGGAAAATCACCATTTTTAATGGGAAAATCCACTATAAATGGTCATTTTCAATAGCTATGTTAAATTACCAGAGGGTAATATCCCACTGATACATGTTTTGCCGTGACAGGAACTTTTTGGGCAGCTCGAGGACGCGGACGAGCCCATGTGGCAAGCGCTACTTGGTTGGACTGCGGAGGGCCTTTCGTGGTGTTCCAAATCCTTCGGTTTGGCAACCGCTAAAACACTCAAACAGCTAGATCATATGTGAATAGATGGAGGTGATATGTAGATGTTTCTGGAGGATGGGAATCCATCTATCTATAGATCAACCAGGACTTTTAATACTGTTTCTGGAGGTTTCCATAGATGGGGGTGATTACCCCAATAGCTGGATGATAATGGAAAATCCCAGCCAGATGATTTGGGGGTACCCCTAGGATTTCAGGAAACCTTCACGTAAGAACATGTAGGAAACCTAGAATTTGTGTGAGGGGGACATCATCTACAAACATTTTTGGAACAACTTGGCCGTCCTTCTTTTGGACCCTGTAATATGATTTTGAATGTAGCAATCCTTCCAGCATTTCCGGTGTTGCATTCCAGGACGAAAAGGGGCTGTCCACATCCCACTTTTGTTGTTGATTAATGTTGGCTACCGCTGGGATTTGTTGAGGCCTATGATTCTCCTTTTGTAGATTGGATAGCATGACCCATGATGGGATGTTCGCCAGTTGGTCAATGAATGAAGGGAATTCCCGACAAGAACCAGGCGGTCCTAATCCCCAGTAAGATCCACATTCGCCGGGGGTACCTTGATTTACCCTCTGGTGATCTAGCATGGCTGGCTGGGAAATCACATATATATATATATACATACATACATACTGTAGAGATTCATGGAGCATCTCTTGTAGTCCCGATACAGTGGTTTCCCTGTCAGCCATGTTTGAATTGAGGTAAACTAGGTAAACCACATTTTTTCTACTTAATGTGTTTGTTGGTTTGCCCCCATTCAACATCATTCACATAAATAGAATCATCATATTTGTGGTGTTCCATTGCTAGGTTTGTACCACTGGACACCCATTTGATTCCTAGACTTGGATGACGGAAAACTTTACGGTTGAAAACCCGCGGCTTCCTGTAGTTTACTTAGTAAATAAACCCACCCACCTACCCACATGGATAGCAGTAAGGATTTTGCTTAGGTAAGTGCTGGAATACACATTGCATAATTTTAATAATTGGTCAATGAATCTGGATGACTTCTAGTGACCCTACTGTGACATCACTGGATGGTTGCTGAGGCCTGGCTCGACGCGCAAACGTCCATCAGTACGGGTGCTAAGATGAAAGATGAAGCCAGGCTTGATCCGAGGCCATTTTTTGTTCAGCACGTTTCACGCTTCAGGAGTTTCTGGAGGCTAGTTTTAGTATTTTCGTTGGGAGAACATGAGGACTTGTGGATTCCTCGATGGTTGAAGATTCCTGTCCTGAGGCACTATCCATCTCCCAGAAGGACAGCAGCTGTACGTGCGAGCTGGTTTTTTGGGGGTCAAATTGCGAAAAAACATGTGTCACTGTGTCACGATTTCAGAGCTTAAGCAGCGATGGCTTTGGAGTCTCTTTGGACCGCAGGATGGGTTGAACAGACTGTCGGCCCTCTCAGCATCAACCCGCGTGGCCAACCTTAGAGCAGACCTGGATGCCATGAAGGAAGACATGGAATTGATCCAGGACGCCAGATGCCAACATAGCACAAACTGGGGCGACAGTGGAGAGTTTAAAGGAAGAGACAGTGGGATATCAGTGATATAGCTGATGTAGAGGTTTATCAAGCTGATGTTGCTGATATCGAGTATATAATGTATATTAGATAATTACAAAATAACTATAGCTCATGTAAAGTGTGATATATATATGTATATATATAGTTAATATAGACTTACTATAGCCGGTATAGTTTGATACAGCCGGTACGAAGGACTTGGGTGGGTAATGGTGGGTAGCAATGCGAATACATGTATGACACTTGGTTGCGTGGGCAAGGCATAGTCGCAGGATACTTCAGAAAAGAGCAAAGGCAAAACGACATATGGATACCATTTGATACCTATGGTACACGCAATGTAGACACATACATGTGTATTAAATATTATTAAATAACATACAGTCTCAATATTCCAAGCATTGAATGTGGCTATACAGCCACGGATGACCATGGGCAAAAATGCGTCCACTGAGGAGATTTAGGTGGGGTCGGTCCATTAGTTCCAGTTGAAATCGACTTGATGTCTGCGAACGAGGTCTGTTATTTTCTTAAAAAATATCTAACTGCCAGATCTTTCTTTTTTGCTCACATTTGTTGGCTTTTCATGAGCAGCTGTGGTTGGATAATGCTGGATAGGCCGCTTTTGTTGCCTACGTGAGGGTGATTTCCAATCTTTCAGCTGTCCTGGTGACGCAGGAGAGCTTGTCAGTGGTTCTGAGCCTATTGAGCGTGAAACCCAAGGCGGGATTCATGGCCAGGCGGCCATGATGGTCATGAGGCAACAGCTGCTCGCTGCTACCTTATGAATCAGTTACTAACATGGCAGTGTGTCAAAACCTTGTACCCCTGGTGAACATCAAAATGGCTGGTAAATGGATGTTCATTCCCCTAAAAATGGTATTAATAGGTATTGATCCATACCCACATGTCTACTGTATATTTTTGGGTGGGTAACATTCTGGTATAGTTATACATAAATGTTTTGTGCCACATGTGCGCAATAATGTAGAAGACCGTTGGGGAGTTGTTTGGAGACCACGTTGCAGGTTGGAGAGGCAACGGTGAATTCGCCCATGAAACTTGTTTGCAGTCAAGACTTGGGTAGCCTTGACATGGGGCTACGGATTTTCATGGCGGTGTGTCAAGGGATGCATGGTTTTTGGACCTGGGCACCTTTTTTTTTGACCTGTACATGTTTTTTGGACCTAATTAACCATATTTTTTTTTCCCGAGAGCGTCTGAGCGCAGGGTTCTTCCAATAGTGGGGGTCTGTAAAACATCTTCTCATCTTCACATCTTCTCATCTTCACATCTTCTCCTCTTCACATCTTCTCATCTTCACATCTTCTCATCTTCACATCTTCTCATCTTCACATCTTCTCATCTTCACATCTTCTCACTTCACATCTTCTCATCTTCACATCTTCTCATCTTCACATCTTCTCATCTTCACATCTTCTCATCTTCACATCTTCTCATCTTCACATCTTCTCATCTTCACATCTTCTCACTTCACATCTTCTCACACATCTTCACATCTTCACATCTTCTCATCTTCACATCTTCACATCTTCTCATCTTCACATCTTCTCATCTTCACATCTTCTCATCTTCACATCTTCACATCCTCACATCTTCACATCTTCTCACATCTCTCATCTTCACATCTCATCTCATCTTCATCACATCTTCCTCACATCTTCTCATCTTCACATCTTCTCATCTTCACATCTTCTCATCTCTCATCTTCACATCTTCTCATCATCTCACATCTCATCTTCACATCTCTCATCTTCACATCCTCTCATCTTCACATCTATCATCTTCACATCCTCTCATCTTCACATCCTCTCATCTTCACATCTGCTCATCTTCACACCTTCCCATCTTCACATCTTCTCATCCTCACATTCCCATCCTCACATCTCTCATCATCTTCTCATCTTCACATCTGCTCATCTTCACATCTTCTCATCTTCACATCCTCTCATCTTCACATCTTCTCATCCTCACATCTTCACATCTTCTCATCTTCACATCTCTCATCTTCACATCTGCTCATCTTCACATCTTCTCATCCTCACATCTTCTCATCCTCACATCTTCTCATCCTCACATCTTCTCATCCTCACATCTTCACATCCTCACATCTTCTCATCCTCACATCTTCTCATCTTCACATCTTCTCATCTTCACATCTGCTCATCTTCACATCTTCCCTCGGGGTTGTGGCTTGACATGTGGGTAGGCTGGCTAGGTGGCAGCTGGGTGGGTGGTCGCCACAGTGGCTACATACAAATACAATACATATGGGGATGGGTCAAAACCCTGGTACCTAGTGAACCCCAAAATAGCTGGTAAATGGATGTTCATCCCATTAGAATTGATAATAATAGGTTTTGACCCACCCCCATATACATATATATACATATATACATATACATATGGGGGGAAGACGGGGGGGAGATGGGGGGGAGGAACATCCACAAAACACGCCGGCCGGCGGATTCATACCTATGCCGGAGGGTGACAGTAGGGCATAGCAGCTATAGCAGCAACCACAGTCAGCCGTGGACTGACAAAGCTCAGTGCATAAATTGGAGGGTCCTGTTGTTTGTTTCCTGGTGCAACCTCCATTGAACAACCCGGTCAGCATTCATCCGGGGACTGACCAAGACTGGAATCTCCAACAGCCACCCATCGAATATGTAACATGTATATTATACAAGGCGGTGGCGGAAGTTTCAAAAATAGGAAACCTATAGGAAGGGTTGGTTGTTGTGACTCACGGATGGCAGAGCGAATCCACTGATGGACCGAAAGGTGGTTAGAGTTGTGTTTTCTGGAGTGGTTGCAAAGGTTGCAGTGGTCACCTCACCACAACTGCTGGATGTAGTGTGGTGTAGTGCAGTTGTAGTTGTAGTTGTAGTTGTAGTTGTAGTTGTAGTTGTAGTTGTAGTGTAGTGGAGTTGTAGTTGTAAGTTGTAGTTGTAATGTAGTGTAATTAGTGTAGTGTAGTTGCAGTTGTAGTTGTGGTGTGGTGCAATTAGTGTATATAGTGTATTGTAGTGTACTGTAGTGTTTTGTACTGTAGCGTGGTATAGTGTAGTGTAGTCTAGTGTATTGTAGTGTAGTTGTAGTGTAGTGCCGTGTAGCGCAATGTAGTGGTAGTTGCAGTTGTAGTGTAATGTAATGTAATTAGTGTAGTGTAGTGCTGTGTCATGTAGTGTAGTTGTAGTTGTATTTGTAGCTGTAGGGTACTGCAGTTTAATTAGTGTATTGTAGTGTAAAGTAGTGTAGCTGCAATTGTAGTCGTAGCTGTGGTGGTGGCGGTGGTGGTGGTGGTAGTAGTGGTGGTAGTAGTAGTAGTAGCAGTAGTAGTAGTAGTAGTAGCAGTAGTAGTAGTAGTAGAAGTAGAAATTAGAAGTAGTAGTAGCAGTAGTAGTAGTAGTAGTAGAAGTAGAAGTAGAAATTAGAAGTAGTAGTAGCAGTAGTAGTAGTAGTAGTAGAAGTAGAAGTAGAAATTAGAAGTAGTAGTAGTAGTAGTAGGAGGAGGAGTAGGAGGAGTAGTAGTAGTAGTAGACATCCAAATGTGCTTCGCGCCACAACGGCGCACACTTTTTCGACATGTCAACTTCCAAAAGTGTTCCGAGGTTGGTGTGTTTTGCACATTTTGACTTTGAAATGTGCTGTCTGCTTCGCGCCACAACGCCGTACACTTTTTCGACATCACAATCACAACTTCCAAAAGTGGTCCGACGTTGGTGTCTTTTGTACATTTTGACTTGGAAATGTGCTTCGCGCCACAACGGCGTGCAACTTGTCATCTCTCATCTGACCACAAGGCTCCACACCCGCCGCTTTAGCGAGCCTACATTTCGACCCCCCGGAGTCACAAATCATTGGAAAAACGCAGTGTTTCGCGACTTTCCTACCTTTTCGTGCGCCTGGATCTTCTTGCTTCTGGGACTTTCTCTTCTCTTCTCTTCTCTTCTCTTACCTTCTCTGACTCTTCCCATCTCTGCTTTTCATCTTTCCATATTGTCGGAAGTTTGACTTCTAAACTTCTTTCGGTTATAAAAAAGATAATATATATATATATATTTGTATCTATATGATAGTGTATATATATATATGATAGTATATATATATATATATTTAGCATAACTAAATATATAAGTAAATATATTAATTTATATATATATATTACATTTACATAAGTAATACAATGTATAACACAGGCACTGAGCATGTCATATATATATATAGATGTATTACATACATGCCCATGTTCGTCTGCGTTTATTTGCATTCTCTGTTCAAACATATATGTGAAACGTAAAACCCCCAACATACATAAAGTAAAACATTGAAACAAACACACACACACATATATATATATATGTATATATATATATGTATATATATGTATATATAAATATATGTATATATATATGTATATATATATATGTATAATGTGAGAAATATCTACTCATACACACACACATATATATATTTTTAATCTACATAAATTGCAATCGTTTATACATCGGTAGACCTGCTCCATCGCCAAAGGACGGAGCCCCTCACTGAGCCGCTTCCGGAGGACGAGCAAGGTGGGCCCGGTGAGGGGTGAAACCCAGTGTAGCAGGGAGAGACAGTGCGAAAGAAAAATTGCGTTTTTCATTTTTTGATAGGTTTTTCAATGGATTTTTCCATTGGTTTTTCAATTTTTTGTTCGGTTTTTCCATTTGTTTTCCAAGGTTTTTATGGTTTGTCCATGGGTGTTCCAAGTTTTATGGCCCATTATTGATATAAATGTATATACATGTAGCTGTACCGAATTCTTGGATCCAAATCGAATTGTATTTCCACCCCTCTGATGGACAGATAGAAATGCCGAACCAAAAACGATCCCTTATCATATCTGTATTATTTGAGAATATTTTCCAAAACACACATTCAAAGATGTATGTATACATGACATGGGTTTAGATCCACTATTTTCTGACGCCAATGAAAGTTGTGCCCCCGGCTGCAGGTCCTCGAAAATCAGCGCTATTTGATGTTGACAAAGGACGAATGCCAGAGACTGAGCTGTGACAATGACAAGGGTCAATGAGTCCCCAGTTTAGTACCGTTATACTGGAATTATGATTAGAACCTACTACTTTTCTTTCCCCAAACAGTGAACTGTTAGGGGTTCTTAATGCTTTCTTACGGTGTCCGCCTTGGTGTTGGATGGTGTGTCCGCCTTCCCGAGGGTCTTGTCTCCCTTTGTCTCCCATTGTACCCCTTCTTGTCTCCCTTTGTTGGGTGGTGTGTCCACCTTCCCGAGGGTCTTGTCTCCCTTTGTCTACCATTGTGCCCCTTTTTTCCCCTTTGTTGGATGGTGTGTCCGCCTTCCCGAGGTCTTGTCTCCCCTTGTCTCCCATGGTGCCCCTTCTTGTGTCCTTCTGATGGATGGCGTGTCCGGCTTCCCGAGGGTCTTGTCTCCCTTTGTCTCTCGTTTTACCCCTCTTGTTTCCCCTTGTTGGATGGTGTGTCCGCCTTCCCTTCTTTTGTCTCCCATTCTACCCCTTCTTGTTTCCTTTTGTTGGATGGGGTCTCCGCCTTCCCGAGGGTCTTGTCTCCTTTTGTCTCCCATTCTACCCCTTCTTGTTTCCCTTTGTTGGATGGTGTGTCCGCCTTCCTGACGGTCTTGTCTCCCTTTGTCTCCCCTTGTCCGCCTTCTTGTTTCCCTTTGTTGGATGGTGTGTCCGCCTTCCCGAGGGTCTTGTTTCCCTGTGTCTCCCATTGCACCCGCTTCTTCTTCCCGAACAGTGTCCTGTTAGGGGTTCTTAATGCTTTCTTAAGGTGTCCGCCCTCCGCTTTCCCGAGGTCTTCTCGCCCCTTGTCTCCCTTCTTGTTTCCTTTTGTTGGATGGTGTGCCCGCCTTCCCGAGGTCTTGTCTCCCCTTGTCTCCCCCTTTTGTTGGATGGTGTGTCCGCCTTCCCGAGGGCTTGTCTCCCCTCTTGTTTCCTTTTGTTGGATGGTGCGTCTTCTTGTTTCCTTTTGTTGGATGGCGTGTCCGCCTTCCCGAAGTCTTGTCTCCCTTTGTCTCCCTTCTTGTTTCCCTTTGTTGGATGGTGTGTCTGCCTTCCCGAGGTCTTGTCTCCCTTTGCCTCCCCTTGTCTCCCATTGTTTCTCTTCTTGCTTCCTTTTGTTGGATGGTGTGTCCGCCTTGCCGAGGTCTTGTCTCCTCTTGTCTTTCCTTTTGTTTGATGGTGTGTCCGCCTTGCCGAGGTCTTGTCTCCCCTTGTCTCCCATTGTCTCCCTGCCTGTTATTTGTTGAATGGCTGTCCGCCTTGCCGAGGTGTCTCCCTTCTTGGTTCCCTTTGTTGGATGGTGTGTCTGCCTTCCCGAGGTCTTGTCTCCCTTTGTTTCCCCTTGTCTCCCATTGTTTCTCTTCTTGCTTGCCTTTGTTGGATGGTGTGTCCGCCTTCTCCAGGTGTTGTCTCCCCTGGTCTCCCTTCTTGTTTCCTTTTGTTGGATGGGGTCTCCGCCTTTCCGAGGTCTTGTCTCCCCTTGTCTCCCCATATGTGTGCCTGTGTTGGATGGTGCGTCCGCCTTCTCGAGGTCTCTACCATCCCCTTGTTTTCCATTCTCTCCCCATATGTGCAACTGTGTTGGGTGGTGTGTCCGCCTTCTTGAGGTCTTGTCTCCCCTTTTTTTGATTGTGTGTCCACATGTGTGCCTGTTTTGGATGATGCGTGTCTTATCTCCCCTTGTCTTCCATTGTCTCCCCACATGTGTGCCTGTGTTGGATTGTGTTTCCGCCTTCCTATATAAGGTTTTGTCTCCCCTTGTCTCCCCTTGTCTCCCCTTGTTTCCCCTTGGCTCCCATTGTCTCCCTTCTTGTTTCCTTTCGGTGGATGGTGTGTCCGCCTTCCCGCGGTCTTGTCTCCCCTTGTCTTCCATTGTCTCCTCACATGTGAGCCTGTGTTGGATGGTGCGTCCGCCTTCTCGAAGTCTTATCTCCCCTTGTCTCCCCGCATGTGTGCCTGTGTTGGGTGGTGCGTCCGCCTTCCCGAGGTCTTGCTTTTCCATGTTTCCAATTGTCTCCCATTGTCTCCCCACATGTGAACTTGTGCTGGATGGTGCGTCCGCCTTCCCGAGGTCTTATCTCCCCTTGTCCCATTGTCTCCCCACATGTGTGCCTGTGTTGGATGGTGTGCCCGCCTTCCCAAGGCCTTGTGTCCTCTTGTCTGGTGTCCGCCTTGCCGAGGTCTTGTCTGCCCTCCTCTCCCATGGTATGTCCTTTGTCTCGGATGGTCTCCCTTCTTGTTTTCATTTTTTGGATGGTGTGTCCGCCTTCCCGAGGTGTTGTCTCCCCTTGTCTCCCCTTGTCTCCCATTGTCTCCCTTCTTGTTTTCTTTCGTTGGATGGTGCGTCCGCCTTTTTGAGGTCTCATCTTCCCTGTTCTCCCATTGTTTCCCCACATGTGTGCCTGTGTTGGATGGTATGTCCGCCTTCCCGAGGTCTTGTCTCCCCTTGTCTCCTCGTGTCTCCCCTTGTCTCCCTTGCCTCCCGTGCCTCCCATTTCTTGTCTTCCCTGGTCTCCCATTGTCTCCCCCACAAATGTAAATGTGTTGGATGGTGTGTCCGCTTTGCCGAGGTGTCTCCCCTTGTCTCCTATGTCTCCCATTGTCTCCCCGCATGTGCCTGTGTTGGCCCCTTGTTTCCAATTGTCAATTGTCTCCCCACACGTGCGCCTGTGTTGGATGGTGTGTCCGCCTTCTCGAGGTCTTGTCTCCGCTTGTCTCCCATTGTCTCCCTTCTTTTCTCACACCTTGTCTCCCCTTGTCTTCCATTGTCGCCCATTGTTTCGCATTGCCTCCCATTGTCTCCCCTTGTGTCCCATTGTTTCCCATTGTCTCCCCACATGTGTGCCTGTGTTGAATGATGTGTCCTCCTTCCCGAGGTCTTGTCTCTCATTGTCTCCCTCCCATTGTCTTCCCACATGTGTGCTTGTGTTGGATGGTATCTCCGGCTTGGATGGTGTGTCCGCCTTCTCTCCCATTGTGTCCCCATGTCCCAATGTCTCCCATTGTCTCTGATTGTCTCTCCCACATGTGTGCCTGTGTTGGATGGTGTGCCCGCCTTCCCAAGGTCTTGTCTCTCTTGTCTCTCTTGTCTCCCAGCTCGTCTCCCAGCTTGTCTGTCTTCTTGTTTCCCTTTGTGGCGGGTGGTCTCAGTTTGTTTTTCCACAAACTGTGTACTGTCAGGGGTTCTCAATGTTTTCTTAAGGTCCGCCTTGGTGTTGGATGGCGTGTCCGCCTTCCCAAGGTCTTGTCTCCCATCTTGACTCCCAAACAGTGTACTGTTAGGGGTTCTTAATGCTTTCTCATGTGCTTGAGCCTGTTCCTCAAAACACTTCTTGAATCCACCCGCTGTTTGGGGTCTACGGGGGTGTAATTTTGATTTTTGGACTAGCAAAGTAAAGCGGGGGTTCATTATATAATCCTTGGTATCCACACGAAGATGGTGCAGGGTTTTCTCAGCATTGATTGACAGTACGGTGGATTCCGTGCCAGGCAGCCTGACACCTTTCTTCCAGGTGCCATGCGCTAGTCGGCTAGTCGAGCAGGGCCACAAAGGCATACCTGCAAGAGATTCCACGACCCGAAGTTTGAGATGGAAATCCAACAGTCCAACAGTTGGGCGACACATCAAACATCATGACACCACTTCTTGCAGCAGTTCATCCCTTAACGCAAATGTGGGTCTCGTACAGAGCTTAATTGGGCAATTGCCCGCCCTTTGTTTCACGGCACAGAGTTTCACTTGTAGCAAAGTCACGCACAAACACTTTGCTGGTGAGAGGCAGATAGAACGCTGCTCTCAGCTGCCAGCCTTTATGTATTTCTGGCCCTGACGAGGGTCAGGCTCCCATTCGTGGGATATGGTACAGCCCCCTAGCTTGCCTCAGACACGTCTCGCATCACCAAGTGCCAATACTTTTCAAATCTGTGCGAGTCATTTCACCATGAACACCTTCATCCCCAAAGAGCATTGAATAATTACTGTGTATAATATTTGTCTGAAAATAGGGTATATTCCCAAACAAATAGCCATTTAATAGGGATAATGATCATCAACCATTGGGTTTCGGGGTACACTATTTTCATGTCATTACTGTAGATGAAACCTATAATCGGTTCACCCAGTTCCATCGTGCTCCAAGATTTGAGGCGGCCAAACTCCAAGAGTTGAGGCGGTTCATTTTGGCGGATTTTGGCGCCGTTGCATGTGAGTTTAAGAGGTGCAGAGCGGACTATGGTGACTATGGCGTTCAGTGGAATCACCAGATCGTTGAACCATGTTGAAGCTATCCACCCTCAAAAAAGACATGCTTCTTTTAGCTGCAATCTGTGCCACCCATTCGGCATTCCGGTTTGGTTGTGGTTGGTTACATCACCGAGAATTTGGTTTGTGATATACCCATTCACTCCGATTATGGCAGGCAAAGTCTGTCCCATTGGAAGGATATTTTCCCTGCCATCTTCAGAATAGGCGCTGATGCCAAAGTCCGGCCACGATTCTGCCAGGGTGTCACCGGTTGCGATGAAAAATTCCGCTGGACGAGTTTGTATATTTTTGTCATCTTATTTGGTCTAAGCTATAGTTGGAACATGTTAGAATGCTTAAATATAGCAGTTGATAAACATACTGGAATGATCTGGTATGTGATATCCCATTTGATCATTTTAAGTTAGATGGCTCAAACACCAGCCATCTCACTTCACATCTTGGAAGTTGCAACCGATGATGCCAGCCCGGTCTGGATGCTAGGGTCCATGACCCCAAGTTCTGGATGGAGAAGCTAGCAGGGCCAAGGGGTGGACATGGAGGATGTCTCCAAATCTCCAAGTGCCTGCCGCTTGGGTTTGCAAATGACATCTATCTTCAATCATTAATCATAAGTATTATAGTCCCAAACAACATCTACTTGTGACGACATACATATCCCACGTACTCGTGATGATGAATCTTATAACGCTCTGTGGCATGTTTCAAAACGTTCAGCACATCGCCGTTTCTTTTTTTCGTGGAAATGTCCTGTTTGTTCGCGCGTGCTAAAGGTGCGTTGCAACTCACAGGCATTGTTGCGAAGCGGTGCGGTGGTCTCCTTTTGCGGCGGTGGTGAGACGGAGAAGGCGGAGAAGGTTGCGATGAAAAAATGGTGGTGGGACCAGATGGCTGATGGTGTGAAGGTTTGATCAAGATTTTGGACGGATTAGACATAGAGGTGTACTTGCGTGTTTTGACTTGTGACAAGGCCAGGAAGGAGAACTGCTGCCAGTTTGTATTTTTCTTGGATGCACAGTGGGGCATATCTCAAAACGGCGCACCTTACGGGCTCGGCTGCACGCCATTGACATCCATTCACTGCTCGCAGCTTCGCAAATTCCGGGGGAATCAATCCGAGTACATTACATACAGTAATTACATGTAATTACGACATATTTCGCAGACATTTGGATGGTCAAACGGTCCAGTATCCTCTTAGCTTCGCAAGACATAGTTGACATAGTCCCTCCATCCCTCCATGAGATCATCGGGAATTACAGGTCACGCCGTCTTTCGGTGTGGTGAAATCGCAGCCAACTAAAATTCGTGCCATTGCGCAGAAATTCACCACGATTCAGTGTATGGTGTCACCGGCCCTTGGTGCAATTGATGCTACTCAAGGCGTGGCCGCCGATGTGAAAAGACATGTTTTTCGGCAGTAAGAGACAGCATATTCCTGATACAAACATATAGTACGATATAGTAACTAGACGATACGGCCAAACACCTCGACTTGCCCAAAAAAGTGGGTCATTCTGGCATTCCTGAAAAGCATAGGTAGGAGACCTGTGCGTCATTGCACAAGTCATCCTGACCCCAACACCGGAAAAATTTAAAGCCTTAAACCCTAAACCCTAATTAAACCATAAGCCCTAAACCTCAAAAAAAATGAAAAATCAGGAGAGAACCTCAAACCTAAACACATAAACCCTAAAATCCTAATTCTAAATTTTAAGACCTTGGAAACCTAAAAGTGGTGTTGGGCAACACGGGGTGTTTGCACGTAACTCTATACTTGTACTATCTCTCTCTGTATATCGTACTATGTGTGTATATATATATATAAATGCCTAGAAACACACAGCAGTTTGATGTACCTTGAACCTTGAGTCAGAATTCTTCTCTAAAAAGCTCCTGGCTTTGGTTTCAGCCCTTCGGCCCATGACTGGATGATTTCACCAGCTCGCTATGCTCAGATCAGATCGATGCACGAGTATCTGTGTGGTTGATGATGTATTTTTGGTGGGTTTGTTCAGAGTCTCAACATGGGGAGCACCCCAAAACAGCTATCTGGGTATGGATCAATACCTATACATACCATTTTTAGGGGGATGAACATCCATTTACCAGCTATTTTGGGGTTCACTAGGTGCCAGGGTTTTGACCCATCCCCATCTAATCCAATCCAACACATGATGATGAACCATTGGATTTTGGGGTTCCCTATTTGAGACATGGCGCCATGCGTGTCTATGAACCAAAAAGAGGGCCAGCCGCTGCATCGGCATGATGTCATTTGTGGGGCCCAATTCGAAGCCCAGTAGCTACTCAACCAATCAACTAGACATATATATATATATTATATATATAATATATATATTATATATATATATATTATATATATATATAATATATATATATATATTATATATATGTTATATAAGATGCAGTGTATATACTTGTATATATATTAATGTAGTATATACCTAGATATGTAGGGAAAGACGTACATACATGTCGCTGGCAGGCCTCCAATGCACCAACTGCATCTGCGCTGGCGGCCGCGGCCGCAGTGCGTGCGGTGCAAACTGCGACGCAGTGACGTGGTGGCGTTTGTGGTTCTCCGGGGTAGTTGCGTATCTTAAAAGACAAATCTAGACATAGTATGGCAATTTTGCCAAAATTTGATCAAATTCGAATAGCTAAACATGGTAAATTGATGTAAATTGTAAATCTATAGGCATGTCAAGAGGAATGCAAAAGGCATTTGATGGGAGGAGGTGGAAACACTGTAAACGCACAGGGCGTCTTCTCCGTGGATAGCTTGCGAGAATCAACAGGTTGATGGTTTCAAGTTACTTAAGGCAACTATCCTCTGGTAATTTAACATAGCTATTGAAAATCACCATTTATAGTGAGTTTTCCCATTAAGAATGGTGATTTTCCATAGTCATGTTAGTTTACCAGAGGGTATCCATCATTCTCCATCCCTTGAATTGGGGATCTGCTCGGGGTGACGGATGGTCCTTTTCGGTGACCACACCACACCCGGACATTCATCGCAGCTCCAAGCCTCCAAGCTGCGGAAATCTGCACAGCCGAGGCTACCAAATGCTGTTGCAGTGGGAAGTCTCAGACTTTTTTCAAAACAACTGGATGGGTCATCTGACTTATCAATTATCAATGCTGCTTGGAAGATCTTGGACCTTCGACCTACAATCACTGGCCATGAGCCAAGGAAGCGAGCGCAGGCACCGGCCTGGAACATCCATGGACTTGGGACATCCTCATTTCGATCCTGAGTTTTATGGGTCAACATTTCCACTGATTATGACATATTATGATAATATTATGACCATTTTCAGATTGGCATAACTAATCAGACATAATCAGATTTATATTAAATGACTAATATTAAATAATCAGATTTAATCAGTGGAAAATGAGGTACCATTTTCTTTCCACTGGTACCCAACTTTTTGGCCTCATCCCCGGCCACTGAAAAAAACTCCTGCCGCCTCATGGCTCAGGCACACCTTTGGAGCGGCTGGCTACCTCCAGTATGGCTGCAACGGTGCGCAGCTGCGCAGTGCTGGAGTCGCTGTGTGCCATTCTGGGCGGCCAAGAAAAGAGGAAAGTGCCAACCGGAACATGAACTATCTGAACTATCAGTAACTATCATGCTATAATATATTATTATATTAGGATAGTATTCCTACTATTAGGTCTTTTAGTTATAATAATTATTATAATATCCTACTATCCCTACTATCATACTATCGGAATTGAAACAGTGACTGCAATTTTTTTAGACACAGCTGGTGCGAGGCGCCATCACCTGGGACGAAGGGCCCAAGGCCGGTTTTTTGTAACCGGTCTTTCTTTCCCCAATTTGGGCAGATCAAGCCTGATGATTCATATTTGGCACAACTTGCTGGGTCTTGAAACTGGTTTTCATATGGGT